GGATATCTTCTCGATGTGTCGCTACATGGTCCGTGAATCATATGCCTTAAAACCATTGCATTAAGCTCTGGATACATTTCTTCATCAGGGATTTCTGCCCATACCATCTTGTCTATTATTTCTTTATGCCTTGACTTTTCTTCATCACCTAACATTGCAAGTAAATGCAAATGTGGTAGTCCTCTTTTTTGGAACTCAATTACGCCTACATAGGCTATGATTTTTCCGAAAATTTTCTTTTGCATTAGATCTGTTAAGTTCCTATAGATTTTAGTTTTTGGTGTTTAAGTAAGCGCACCTAGTGACAATTATAACCAATAAGGTTTGTCTGGGCGCAGCGGCGCTAACAACCACACGCGCACGTCTCGTGGTAGTATTTTTCCGGTTAGTATTCTTTTTAGCGCGCGCCACAAACTCCCGCCTATTACACTCGTCTTTTAGTAGCGTTCGTTAGAAGACATGCGAGCGTGACATTGTAATACTGATTCCAGTTATATTAAAGTAGTGTTCTTTATCATTCGGCTAATTCTGTTTTTGTCAACCTGCGCACATCCAAGATAATACCCAACAAGATCTCGCATCAGTTCTTTTACATTCAAGTTGAAGGTTTTTGCTACTAAATCTGGACGATATTCTACCTGGTATCCATCAAGGTTTTCCTTAATTGACGGAGACTGTGGATTGCATGTCACTGTTAAAAAGATGTCTGGTTTTCCAAACTTTCTCACCATAAACATTGCATCTTGATATCTTTCTTGCATATTCCTTGGACTTCCCATAAATAATGATGGTAATATTACTGGTATACCAGCTTTAATTCCTTCATTTTGTTCTCGACTATCTAGGTGATCCATTAACACTGAATACAGTTCTGCTCTTATCTTTGGCTGATTTAATTTAATAAAATTAAGCCTGTTAGCCTCAGTTTTTATATAGACATCTAGTATGAATTGACACCTCAACTTGCCTGCCATTTTAAATTGAGTAAATTCTTTTCTAGGTGCCAGCAAATAAGCATAATAATTCATCTGAGAAATTTTATATCCTTGATATAGAGGATTATTTGATTTCATTTCAGAATGCCATCCATCGTTGCCATATGGATATAATAAAGAATAACATATTGGGTCACACCTTTCCAGAATTGAAATTTGATGGATATTGTTCGAATTTTTGTTATATATCCTAATGTCTCTCTCAAATGGAGGCTCACCATCAACATTATTAAAGACCACGGCTATTTCATTTGCACATGGGGCATTATACCTTCTTTTATCTTGTTTCGGATCTTTTCTGAACGACAACATCAAATTTGGTGCTTGAGTACCCTGAGGATTTAAATTTATTTCTATCTGACGCATCATCTTAAACGTCGTCGCTAATGAATTGTCATGCTTCATGAGAATTGTCAACTCTCTTATCAGACTTGCATCACAGCCTTTATTTGCTTCCTTTTTTAATCTTTGATGTACAGCTTCTCCAGTATCTATAAAATAAAGCTGTGCAAAACGTGGAGGTTTCCCTTCTCCTGGACGCATTGACGTCGAGGTCAAATGATGATATTGCCCATGAATTTTCAAGCAATAAAGCGCAATGTTCACTACTTCCAAAGGATTCCTATTTCCTGGAGCACCCATCGAAGCCATTGCTAATGCACTATTATATAAACAAATATTCTTCAAGAAATTCCTAGATTGAGCATCTTTTCACATATATAATTTTCGTAGAAATTCCGGACATTTTATTGGTTCCAAATTCATCCTTCTCTTTTGGCAACAATATGTGAATATTCCTTTATTTTTATTTTCACATTTAAAGTTTAATGATTTGCAAAAGTTGCATATCACATTCATTGGACCTAATTTGTGAACTTTTACTTTATTTCCTTCTCCTTCGCAATAAGCGCAACATGATAATTCAAGTCTCTTTCTTGGCGTATTCTCTCAGCATGCCTGTTTGCAAAACAACTTCCACTCGTTTTCTTCTTGCTTCCTCATTTTCATCGGCTCTCTTTTGAGTATGCCTCTGGGCATCTCCTTCTAAACGTTGTGTCCTTGCCTCATCAGTTTCTAACACCCTTTGCTGTGCATGTCTCTTTCTGCATTATTTTCTAATCTCTCCCTCCTTTCCTCCGTACTCTCATTTTCTCGTTATCGTTGTCTTTGTTGTGTTTGTTTCTCTGCATAATTTTCTAATCTCTCCCTCCTTTCCTCCGTACTCTCACTTTCTCGCTGTTGTCGTTTACGCATGCCCTCCAAACTTACTCTAGACAAGTTTCCTTTTCTTCTCTTTCTTGGCATTTTTTTCAAATTTACCAAATAACGCAATTATATTGTTACGCCCGTGCCGAGACATTCGTACTTGTGGGCTGAAATTGGCTCCGCTCCGCAGAAGTTTCAAGCCGAAGCGCGTCCCTTGACAACGGGGACGCATAGAATTATTGATTTAATTACCGCCTGTCAGATTGACCTGGTGACTCGTTTCGTTCGGACCGACCGGTTTCACAGAACTCTTTATTGTATTCCGTTTTGAGTTTGAATAAACCCGAGTTCTTTTATAATTACGAGAGTGGTTATTTCTGCGATCCCGGGAATACGCAGACGCGTTCGCGAGTGCGCGCGACTTAAAGAACGAACGGAGCGTAACATTACGTTGTTACGCCATCAATTAAGTATATCAATTAAGTTTATCCGTCTTAATTAATTCTATTTTGGTCTTTTATAATAATTAATTTTACAATTCTTTTTTTTACATATATTTTTTTTAATGTACATACACATCCGGATGTCTGTACATCTATCCGAATCAATTTATCAATTTCCGACAACTCGGTAAATGAAACACACAATATATTTTAATCTTCCCAACATCTATCTTTTTTTTTAAATAATATTTCTGTTGATGTAGTTTTGCGCGTGTTTACTTCCGTAGGGGAAGTAGCATGAAAATATATCGAAGTCTCTGGAAGGTCGATGAGGCTTATTGAGCGACGATCTACGCGAACCGAGCAGTAGCTCTGACGCAGTCATTCGAAGCGGGCGAGTCACGTATATATAAGCATTGTATCTTTCAAATATATAAGTGTGTTAATTCTGCAATCAACAACTCGGCGTAGAGAACATTTAACATTCCTGACTCCTCTCCCTACACTCGTTAGCGTCAACAGGTTATGGGCCCAGCACCCTAACTGAGCACGAGGTGTGAGGAAGCGAGAGAACTGTAGAACGTTCGCGAAAGTCGAGATAGCTGTGTGGCGGCCTTTGTGTGCTGCACGTGTTCGTCAAGAAAAACCGTCGCGTTCGTGCGTGTGTCGGAATCGAGAATGACGGACGATCTCTCTCTCTCTCTCTCTCTCTCTCTCTCTCTCTCTCTCTCTCTCTTTCTCTCTATCTACCGATACCAAAGGTAAACAAACCAAAAAAAGCGAGCGAGTATAGACCGATTAATATGTTACCGATATATGAAAAAGTATTAGAGTTAGTTGTAAAAAAACAGTTGGAAAAATTTCTAGATGACAATGAAATAATAACCGAATACCAATCGGGATTTAGGAAACAGCAGTCGTGTGAGACAGCAATTCAAAGTTTTATCGAAGAATGGAAGTTGATAATTGAGGAGAAAAAAATGGTGGGGGTGTTATTCCTGGATCTCAGGAGAGCGTTTGAGACAATAGATAGGGTAAGATTAGTGGAAAAATTATATCAGTATGGAATAAGAGGAGTGGTACTGGAATGGATAAGATCGTATTTAAGTAATAAAAAGCAGCAAGTTAGATTCAATGATATGTGTTCTAAAATAATTGAGACAGTATATGGCGTGCCACAGGGATCAGTATTAGGACCTCTATTGTTTATTTTGTATATAAATGATATAGTTAAAGTCTGTCCGGAGGGAAGTATATTTAGATTATTTGCAGATGACACGACCGCAAGTGTAACAGGAGAAAGTTGTGAGGAAATAGAAATAAAACTAAATATGATGCTCGGTATACTTGAAGAATGGATGAATGTGAATATGTTAAAAAAGAATGCAGATAAGACCAAATATATGATAGTTAGAAGTATAAGGAAAGAAATAAAAACAGACATAATAGTAAAAAGTTTGAATGGAACTATAATTGAGCGTGTCGAGATAACGAAACATCTGGGTGTAATGATCGATAGTAAACTCCGTTGGGAGAATCACTGTGATTATATGTTAAAAAAAATAGGGAAAAAAGTGAGTTTTCTGAACAGAATAGGAAATGATATATCGGCGTACACTCGATGTACAGTCGCGGTCATTAATGCCTTCCACCTAAAGTCAGTCGCGTTCGGGGGCAGATAGTAGCTGAACGCGTCGCGTCTAGCGCTATTCGTGCTTCATGATAGTTGGGTCGGTAACGTCGTGGAGCACGGTCAACCGTGTCGTGGAGAGCTGTCAGTCACTGTCAGTTTGACAGCTGTGTGTTTGCGGAAGAGAGGTTAAGAACCACGAGGGATCGTCCAGAAGTATAAGGAGAGTATAAGAAATACAAGAACATGTTAATTATTTGAATGCATGGTAAATAATTATTATACGACAAATTTATATTGATATATATAATTTCAGTTATCGCAGCTGAGGCATTAACAAAAAGATTATTGGCCCGATTGGCCGTATCGAGCCTTCCAGAGAATCGGAGTCATACGAATAGGAAAAGAAGAAGAAGAAGAAGAAAATTAGCTGGGACCGCTGGGACAGAGAATGGAAGAAAACAACGATGACTATGAGAAAGGTAGAGATAATGGTCAATGGAGGAGGAGATGCAGTAAGATGATTTAATTTATATTATTTAAGAAATTATTACATTATTAGTAATTTCAAAATACGATTGCAGAACACCAGTGGGAAATATCAGCGTCAGACGATCCGCGCTACGCTTGTCATGCGGCATACTCGCCACGGACTCTGATCAGTCTGATCCATCGTCACCATGTGTCCTCGCGGTAATCTCCATCGCTCGTTGATAAATTCATCGTTCACCATCTACACGAGGAATTTGGGATACACCAAAGTCATGGTAGGCAAATAAATTGCACAGAAATAGGTAGTGAAAATATGTTTTGTTTCCGCAATAAAATCTCGCTCTCCAATGAATTAGCATGCATAAACTGAAGTAGTATTGTGTGTGTAGAACATAACTAATAAGATTAACTTTTGTTTAGAAAATGTTTATAAGTTTTTTGATTGATTTGATATTATAATTGTTAAAAAAGTTCACAAACTAATAATCCTTAAATAGCAAGTGATTATAATCCCAGCAAACGAAAAAAGATTGAAAAGAATTAAAACAAGATTGCCAGGAATTCAATTAAGGACTTTCCGAATTTTATTCTGTCCAAAAAAGGGATTGAAATAGTTTCAATATCATGGAATTCCTTATTTTGGAAGAATTTGTCTTTTTTGAATCCCATCCAATTCCGACACAAAAATATTATACCACTGAATGCCAAGTTAGGGATTGGAAAGTTTCGTGATGAATTCCATTGAATACCATTGATTCCGTTAACGAAATGAATACCATTGAACGCCAAACTAGGAATTAAAAATTTCCGTATTGAATTCCATTGAATTCCGTCTATATTCTGACAATAAAATGAATACCATTGAATGCCAGGATAGGGATTGAAAAGTGTCCGTGTTGAACTCTGTGGCGGTACGCGCCAACAATAGTACACGCCCGCGCGGTATCTGCTTTACCGGCATTTCGCGTCGACGCCGCTAGACGTCGCATCGCCGGGGCATCTTCTCGAGTTCAAAGTTTCGTCTCGACCGCTATGTAAAGAGACCCCCTACGGTGCCTGACAGATCTTACAAATCTCATTTTCGGGCTAATTGCCCGTCGGCAGTAGTGCGTGTAATGACCTTATAGGCATACACAAAAGCTCACCGACGAACAACGGCGCTTGGTCGCCCAACGGAGGCGCGAGACGTTTCCTAAACCATATCTAATGCCATGCAATTCCATAACCTTTACGGATTCCATAGGATTGGATGGAACTAAAAATTTCTTTTTTTGGATTCCATGGGATTGGACCATCTCATTTTGAATCCCATCTAATTTCATCTAATTCCGCCAAAAAAGGGATTCAAAGGTATTAAAAAATTTTAATATTTTTTAATCCTTTTGCGTTTGCTGGGATTGTTATCGTTCACGTTGGATAAACATGTGGGCTTTCAATGAAATTATAATTTCTTACAGAGCATCGTCGAGCAAATGGTTCATCACATCTCCGAGGAGAATCCTGAATGGACAGTTGCAGAGAGATCGGCGTGGATTGACAGTCTCCAGGTCTTCGGTTTCAGCAGGGCTATTCAAGTCTTCGGATTAAATCAATTTAAAAAGAGTTGCGCCAAGATATCGAAAGGCTGTAATTGCGTTCTCGCGAATTATATTTCCCCACACAGCACAGTTTCTAAATCCGAAATTGCTTTCTCTTTGTTTGCATCGTGCATCGCGCATCGTGCCTCGCGAGCAAATCTCTTTTCTCAAAATAATGTTAAATAAATTGTTAAAATACTGTGAAATACTACTGTTAAATAAATTCTGACAAAAAAAAAAAATCTTAAAAAGCGTATTTATTTTCTTAGAAAAATTTCCATGTTACGCAAACTATTTAGTAAAGAAACAGTATAGACCAAACAAAAATTGTACGTATTATTGTTCTTATTTTTGTTTTTATATGGTTAGTGAATAAACTTTATAAAAATGGAAATTTTGTCCTACAATTGATAGAATAAATTACTGCCAAGAACGGATAACATATTTAATATCA